TAATAAATAAAATATGTTCCATTAAGATTTTTCACCAAGCAAATAATGCAATACATACCTCTCATGGATGCTAGGATATTCATATATTATGTCTGCAAGAGTTTTCAGTGAACCTAGAGGCACAACAGTAAAAAGGCTTCCTGTGAGGCTGTATAATTATCCCTACAGTTTCTTACCTTATCAAATAGGACATGCAGGGAGATGCAGCTGGCATTCAGCACCAAATAACAGTGTCATTACATAGGAGAGCAAAAGCCTGGAAAGGCAACACACAAACACACACTTCTCTCCTTCAGGGGTCAAAGGGCAAATAAGAAACGCCAAGCCCTTCAGGCTTGGAGATCATACCATCAGTGGGCACCCAAGCTGATTTCAAGATATTAATTACAAATTTTAATGGGTGCACAACGTCAGGGGCCTTTGTCACTGTGAAAGATTGGGAAAGTGAGCTGTAAGTATTTTTGTCACACCTCATACTGTATAGAATGATTGGTTTGTCTTCTATAGCACCCAACATTTTCTTGCTAAGCCAACATAGTCACCCATTAGCCATTTCCAAGTGTTAATCTACCGGGCAATGGATGCACACTGCATAAACAAGAACATGACAGTCAACACATGTCGAAATGCTCTACTTATGCTCTAACAAACATGCCTACGCCAGGGAAAAACCCGCTGCCTTGCAATGCCCACCCATTTTTGCCCCAAATAATACACTCAAAAGATTTGAATCTTAAATCTGAAGGAAGGCAGCGATCACCAAAACCTCCCTGGATTCATTCATGTTATGTCCAGCGAGCAAAATCCCCAAGTGGAAAGGGCCACAGCCTTGCCTTCCACCACAGGTTTCTATTTTAGATCCCTAGAGAGAACGAGCATGCCAATTCAAATATGAAATATAATGCAACAGAAAAAATACAAGCTAATGTACTGTTCATTCATAAAACTGGGAGTACGGTGAAGTCCCTGAAGTGCCAGGTACCTTTCAGTGACTGAATTTGATTTTTCCCATAGGGAGCCGAAGAGAAGTTTCCACAGAAGAAAAAACAGGTAGGAGGCATGGAGGAGTAACCTGGATAGATGAAACAAAGGACGTGATTCACATTTGGTTTGCCTGCGCTCCCTCCCTCCAACTCAGGCTGTGTACAGGCATCTCTTCTTTGGCAAATCCAAAACAAAAATCTCATACGCATCAAACTGGATGAGGCCACTCACTCCCCTTGAGGAAGGTGACCTTGGTCATCTCTCAAGCCCATCCATCCGTCAAACTTGTTCTGTTTAACCAAAAGGGTTTACTTAACAGTATGTCAAAGACCGGCTAGCAAGGTGAAGCCCTGCAAGACATTTGTAAGAGCCCGACTCAGTCAGCGTTGAGTCCTTTGACTAAATGAGACACGTCTGGAAAGCTCACAAGCCGGTCATAAAAAGCAACAGCCTCCAGCCTGACCTAAGATAGGTTTCACTCTTATCACCTAGATCATCACGATGAGGATTCGAGTATCTGCTTATTGTAGGAAGCATTTCACAGTCTTTTAGTAAAAAAGGATAGCAGGAAGCTCAAATCAACAACTTCAGCAAGCTTGGGCACAAAATTTTGGGGCCAAGGCCCAACCATGGGCGGCACCAAACTCAGAAATTACCAACCACAGCCTATCTGGTTTTTAAAAGCTATAGTTGTGGCTTTGAGCTTTTGATTTTTATTTTATTTTTTTAATAATGGTGGTGGTGGGGGTCTCTGGTTAAAAACCGAGACAACAGCTGTTTCTGGAACTCTCCGGGAATGGAAACAGGCCTTTGCTCCATGAAAAATGGAAATATCTCAGGTGCCTCCGAGGGTGCTCAACACAGTCCATGGGCAGCCCAGCGGCATCAAGCAGTGAACTGGATCGTTCCCAGTAGCGCTGTGTTCAGAAGTGTCGTGCAACGAGGAAGCATGACGCTCATCCTCTTCCTTTTAGCCTCAAACCCCTTCAGCAGCCCGGTGGCAAAACAGGCCAAAGCCGTTCATTGATACATTCAAAATATTTTTTTAACCCACCTTTCTTCTTAAAAACAGGAGCCAAGGCAGTTTACAACATTAAAAGATGACGTATAAAGCTAACAACCGTGAGAATACAATACTGAAAGCATCAAACCCATACCACATAAACACAGAGGACATGGGATCATACCTGCAATAGTCCTGTGTTTCTGCAATTGTGGAGATGTGTGGTTGGAAATGGGAAGAAAATCGAGAGGGGCAGGACTTGGGCAACCCAAGACCAGCCCGAATCAATGGGCTTCCAGCAACAACATAGGACCAATACCTACTGGTTTCTCTTAGAAGACCAATCTATTTCACCCAAAGACCCAATTTCCAGTGTTATAGGAAAACATTTTATCTCCCCCACTGTAATCCTAGTTTTACATATAAAACAGTCAATTTTTTTTCACAAGTTGATATTTTCCTAATATCAACTAAACAGTCTCCAATGCTCTGGCATTTTCTTAGAAGGTTCTATCGCTCCTATACTGATCGACAGAGTTACCTGAAAACATAATGCGAAGCTTATCCATCACGTCGGCTTGGTCCAGCCACACATCGGAAAGGAAGACAAACATGGCGTCTTCGTTTTCTTCCTCCATCTGCTTCAATTTTGCAGAAGCTTTTACAGAGGCGGAAGAAGGCCCTCCAAAGAAGTTTGGGTTCCCATAATAGGCCCTGCAGCAGGAAAAGCAAACATTAGAAGTCTCTATGTAACTGCATCCACGGCTTTTGCTCTGCAATGTGCAAGGAATGTGATTTAACATGTAATCTTTAATTTGGCCACTTATAATGGTCATCATTCCACAATTTTAAAACAAATTCCATCCATTATCATCAACACCGTGTCCTACACCAGCATGTTTCTGGAAGGTGGATATTTCATTTTAACGACAAGCACTGTGACGTTTACACCACCAAGTGCTTTTTCAAGATTAAAAAAATTAGTATATTCCTAACCAGTGCTATAGTGGTTGTTTGTGGGTTTTTCGGGCTCTTTGGCCGTGTTCTGAAGGTTGTTCTTCCTAACATTTCACCAGTCTCTATGGCCGGCCTCTTCAGAGGACAGAAGTCAGAACTCTGTCTGTGCTCTGTTGCAGTTTGTTGGATAGTTGAGAATTTATAGCTGTGGGATCAGGTTCTGTCCTTTTCAGAAGATTGGGTGATTATGGTGATCAGTGTTTTTTTTTGTTGTGGGTGTATTGTTGTGATAAGAGGGAGAGACTAGCTATAGCGTTTGGGGCATATCGTGAGGAGAAAACATTCACTGGCAAAGACAACTCTTGTGACAGCTGGCTAAGAGCATTAGAGACACCACAGACTGACAGAAAGACAAACAAATGGATGCGAAATCAAATCCTAACTCTCCACAGAAGAAAGCATGACTCAACTGAAGGGATCATTTTGGGGGCACATCATGGAACTCTTGAGAAAAGACAATAACGGGATTGGAGGTGGAGAAAGCATGACAGGCAGACTGAATATGAGGTGGGTTAACTCAACAAAGGAAGCCACAGCCTTGAGACTGCAAGACTAAAGCAGCGCTCTTAATGGCAGGGGTTTTTAGAGGTCACTAAATGATAAGGCAACCTTAGTCAGAAGCACCTTGATGGCACCTAACACCGAATATAGCAAATGTTACACTGAAGTCCTTAAGTTAATATTTGTCTGGGAGAAGGTCTGGGGGATAATTTTAGATCTGTTCTCTTGCAAATATGAACGTTAGGGAGGAATTTTGACTGGGTATTCAAGCCAGGTTCAACTCCCCTCCTCGCCTGCAGAAAACTACACTGCATAAGGGTTTAATGCTGTGGAACCCCCCTGCGGTCTCACTGCAATCTACATTTATATACAGTGGTGCCTCACTTAACGAGCGCTTCGTTTAACGACAAATCCGCATAGCGATAATTTTTTTGCGATCGCATTGCAATGTTTTAAATGGAAAAAAATCACTTTGAGATGATCGGTAAGCTGTTTCGCTTACCGATTTTCGTATAGCGATGTTTTAGAACAGCTGATCGGCTGTTCCAAAATGGCCAACGGGTAATTAAAATGGCTGCCCGCTGTGTTTTCGTGCCCATTCCTTGCTTACCGGGCAGCGAAAATGGCGGCCGTATGAAGGATTTTCGCTGAACGGTCAGTTTTTTGCCCATAGGGACACATTAAATGTGTTTTAATGCATTCCTATGGGCTTTTTTGTTCCGTATAGCGACAAATCCACATAGTGATGATTTTTCCGGAACGGATTATCGTTACTATGCGGGGCACCACTGTATCTAGATCCCTCTTCCTCCCTCTGTGCTTTTCCAGACACGCCACCCAGTCATTCAACAGGCCATGCTACTGAGTACTTATCGGGGCTCTGTGGCGTTCCTCTCCTTTAGGATTTTTTTCCTTCCCTAAAAATATTTCAAACTCCCACTGAGTTTGGGATTCCTCTAAGTCTGAACATGGACATGGACACGGCAGCTGTAATGGCATAAACAAGGGGACCTTCCATGGACGTTTAGGAACAGAAGAGACCATACCTAGTGGTAGCAGAAGGTTCCGTTGGGGGAAATCCAAAAGCATTGACGTGAAATATTTCATCTTCATACCAACCTAAAAAGTAACATTGGTTAACGACTAGGAGGTCAAAAATTGGCGAGTGTCTTTTTCCGAAAATGTCCAATCCTAAGGATTATTTATAAATGAACTCTCTGTTGAGTTTAAGGATCTACTTACATTTCAGTTCTGGACCTATTTCTCATCGATTTTTCCACATTATGGAGACATATAGAACATGATGACAAAAGTTTCTTTTTAGCCTAAATAAATATTGTAATAAAACTACCCTATTTCCCCGAAAATTAGAAAGACATAACCTGAAAATAAGCCCTAGTATGATTTTCAGGATGCTCATAATATAGGCACTACCCCAAAAATAAGCCCCACTGAAGTGAAACCCTGTCCTCCACCCTTGTGCAGCAACCAGATGATGATGACAGGGCTGTCTTTGAATAAATGTAAATGGCTGTACATGAAAAAATATAAACCATCCCCTGAAAATAAGCCCCAATGTGTTTTCAGGAGCAAAAAATAATATAAAACCCTGTCTTATTTTCAGGGAAACACGGTATAATTCCATGATTCTACGACTCAATGACACATGGCCTTTACACTGTATATGTGAATCACTCCCCCACCCCATGGAGGTGTTGAGCCCTCGCCCCGCCCTCCCCTCGGACCAACCAGACTCTCCCGTCTGCACAGCTGGCCAAAGATTTCTGGTGGGACAGGCCAGGTTTCCCTACAGCTTCTGAAGGCTGAAAAGAGACCCCTACTCACATCAGTCCTTGGGAGCAATTTGGGGGGGGGAGAGGAGAGACAAGGCCAGGAGGGAGTCATACTTCTGAATAAGGCCAGGGTGTTTGGCCCCACAGCCCCGGATGCCAGGCCTCCACTGGGGAGGGGGCTGGTTCTCCCCCCTTTTCCTGGCTGGGGCTCCGGGGAGCTCCATGCCCTCTCCAGAGTCCTGGCTGGGCCGAGGAAGGGCTGGATGGCCGCCAGGCCCAGGGTGGGAGGCTCCTCTGGCTTCAATGTCCCCTTGGACCCTCCTGGTCCAGGGAGAAAGTCCCAAGGCTACCAGGGCGAGCCTTTTCGAGTCGGGCGGCTGTGGGAAAATTGCCAGAGAACCAAGGCGGCAGGCCCTTTTCGGGCAGAAATTGCCGGTGCCAAGGGGCCCTTCCTGCCTTCTAACCGTTTAAATATTGAAATCTAAATTTCTTCAAACCAAGTATATAAGCATATATAATATATATTTTCTCTCAAGAGTTCTCCCATTTTTGTTTACTTCAATGATAATCTTATTTACTCTTCTGTTACCAGGCTCCCCCCTTTTATATCAATTTCTTTTTAAATATATATTTTATTGTATTTTTTCTACTTTTCTATCCGTTGCAACCAGAGTGATTTATTACAATATGTTCCATTCATTTCATCTTGTCTT